GAGAATGTTGTGGCAAAATGGAATAGCTAATGTGGAAATAGAATGATGGTAGAGTGATGGTAATTGAAAATGTTGTGGCAAATTAAATTGTAATAGGTGCAAGCAAATGAAAATGTCAAGGCAAAATAAAATGTAAATATACGATTTAATAAATATAGGACTTTAGCTTTCTCAAATGACAAGCAGCAATGGGAATGAGTGGAAGGAGTCACAAGGAAAATCTAAGTCTATGTCTCTGAATGGTGTTTCTTCTAAGCTTACCCTACCCGACAGAGTCTACTGAAATGCCCTATGCTATCTCTAGTAAGGGACTCGACAGATTAAAGATGCCCTGGCAAAACCGATTGGCGTAAGCCCTTGCCGTGACCCTATTGGTTTAGTTAATAGGATATGTCTCGGCAATACCTTTTTACGGCAGCATTAACATCTAACCTATCATTTATACATAACTCCTTTTAGTCGAATGAAATCCTATCCTTATCTCTAAGGTGGATTAGGCCTAGTTACTATCTAGAACCACTTGTTTGTGTAGTTCCTCCCTAGTTTCTCTCAAAGACTAAAGATATTTTTCCAATGCATTCTCTCGAACCCTAAGTACCTTCTAAGAAAAGGCTACTCTCGTAGCTTCTACAACCTTAAAGCATTAAGTCTCACAAACAAAATAAAATAAAGCATAAAACAACAACCATTCATTAAAATAAAAACTTAAACATCCAAGTAAACTCCCACCAAATAGGATTAGTTCATGGTGGGGTTCGAAATCAACAAGCACAAAGCAAGATTCATTCGTTCCTTACAACCCAACAACAAAATATAAAAGCAAAGGACTAAGGGGATGAGAGAAAGCCTTTGACGTGCACTGCCCAATGCTTCCCTCGGCCACCAAGATCTGCTCCTAGCGAACTGGCTCCTCTCGGATGCTCAGAACGCCACTCCCTTCGGCTTGTCAAGGAGAAATGCCACGGCAAGTAGGATTGACGGAGAAAGATGAGACATTTTCTCTCTAACTTTTTAAGCTCAAATATGGGTGGAACCAAAGTCTTCTTCATTACGGCTTCCTCCTCTATTTACAGGGGAAAATTAACCCTAATACTTGGTGTTAACCATCCTAGGAAACCCCAAAACCATAGTTGATTTACTAGGGAGTCGGGCAAAGCATAGCAGTGATCCAGCCTGGGTTGCTGGCTGAGACCCTGCATAATCCCGTTGCAGGCGCCCAAGGACAGATAAGATCTGCAGGGTCAGACGTCATCATCAGCAGGACCGGCGATTGCAGCGTCGATCCCTCCAGGCGTATCTTCGAGGTGGATTTCTTGGGCAAAGGGCACGGAGAGTTGGAGACAGCTGGCTAGAAAATATCTTCTTTCACCTTTTGCGTTCTCGAAATGCCAGTCGAACTCGGCATTTTCATTTTGCTCAGCAATCTCCTTATGCCACATCATTTTCTTTCCTCTTTTCCTTGCTTTCAGCTTTCAATACCTGCATATCATCAGACAAGTACCTTTCCATAAAGCAGCACCGCTTGTAAAAATAAAATGCCAATGCAAACTGGAATTCCACCACATGCAACTAAATGCTTCTAAATGCATCTACATGGTCCTAAATGAGCTCTTAGACATTCAAAAACTTAAGTGAAAAGGTCCCAAAATGTGACCTTTTACGGAGTTATCACTTAACAAAGATGAGTTTGTTAAGAAGCTTCATCAATAAGTGAGGGAGAACATTGAAAAGCAAACTAAGCAATATGAGCATCAAGAAAATAAGGGTCGTAAGCAAATTATTTTTGAGCCAGGGGATTGGGTGTGGCTGCACATGAGGAAAAAAAGGTTTCCGGCTCAACGAAAGTACAAATTAATGCCTCAGGTAGATGGATCATTCCAAATAGTCAAGAAGATCAATGACAACGCCTATCAATTAGATCTTCTAGGTGAGTTTAATGTTAGTGCAACCTTCAATGTTACTGACTTGTCTCCTTGTGATATAGGTGACGATTTGGGGACAAATCACCTTAATAGGGATGGATTGATATGATCGCCAATAACAAAGACACGGAGAAGTACCCAAGTGGCCCCATTACATGAGCAAGGGCTAAGGAGTTTCAAGCAGCCATGGAGAGTATGTTTACATCAAGTTTGGAACGTGATGAAGGAGGAATAATAAGGGAGAAACACTTTACATTGCTTATGCATGAATTTACTTGAGAATTTGAAGTTTACATAACATTCATTGCATTTAATAAGTGTGTTGCTCATTCAAGCATGCATTGCATTTAAATAATCTAGTTCATTTAGGGAAGTAGTTCATTAATTAAACTAGTTCATTCATCAAACTAGTTCGTTTACTAAATTAATTCTTAATTGTTTCATTCATGTTTTCAATTAAATATTGAATAAAGTTCACATTTTTGTCTAGGTGCATGAGAGAAGTTGAACGGTTTCATCATATGCAACAATGTCAATCAGAATGTCTTCCAATTCTGGATATGATACAGATGTGTTTAGTTCTAGAAATCAATTAGACATTATTCCTCTATCTCCTATCTTTCCAATACCTTTTGAATTACCTTAATCTGATATTGGGAGCTTGATATATGATCGATTTATTGAAAACAGTGCATGTTGGAATTTTGTTACGGGAACTTTATGCATGGATGATTTGGATGAGTTTGAGCCAAGGGAGAGTCTTTTCAACTTCAGCCAAGTGACAAGCCATTGAAGGACTCTTAATTCACCTATTCAAGGCATTCAAAGCTGATTTTTATCATCCAAATTCAAGGGTTGTTCATATTCTTCAAAGGAGCATGCAATGAAGGGTGATTTAATTCACTTGTTAAGATAATTTTCATCATGGAATAGAAAGAGTCTTCCACCCCTTTGACGAAATTAAGGCCAAATTCAGCTTCAAATTGTCTAGATTCATCCCGAAAATGATCTAGAATATTCAGTCAACCTTGAAAATAAGAAGACAAAGCATTCAAGTGTATTTTATTGCTAAATTGATGAGAATATTTTCATCTTTTGAGTCTTTTCATATGATGCTTAGAAACACTATAAATAGGCACCTTTGGGATCATTTGTAGACACACATTTGAATATATAAAACATCTTTGAGATGTTGTTTTCGTTATTGTTCTCTTGTAGAACTTTATCGGCTTCAAGATAGTCTTGTTGTCTTCATCCATTTTCTTTTGTTATAGCCTTGGTTCCTAGCTCATCTATAGCGGTCACGTTCCATCTACTTCTACTTCGATTCCATCTCTTTATATTGCTGGTTCCTAATTCCACATAGTTAGAGGGTTACAATCCGTTTTCTTTTCAATGCATCTTTCATATTCCACACCATTACCAACCCATACATTCGTCTTACTTTCATTCCATCCAAACTACAACTTCTATTATCTTTCGTTCAAAGCTAGCAATTCAATCTTTTACTAGAATCATGATCAGGCAATCATATATATGACTCGAAACTAATAATCGAGATCATATCACTAAGTTCGTGACTTAGCGAGTGAGTTTTTCACACGTAGGATTCAAGAAGTAAGAAAGCAAGGATAGTCAAGTGAGACAGCATATCTTCAACAGAGATCAGATCAAAAGCAATTTAAACTGTAGGTTCTTTTTGTAATCTTAAATAGTGTTGGCATGTAATTAAAGGTTTGAATTGTGTATGCTCTGATCAGTTTTGTAAACCTTTTTTATTGTAATAATGTAAATTATTCAGTTTTATTTAATATAAATCTGTATTTTTCAATTATCATATAAAATTAAATGTTTTCGAAAAGTTAATGTAACATCTCGGATACGGATCCGGGTCAGGGTGTTATATAAATAAACAAAAAAATATATCCCTTCATTCTCTTTACACTTCGAAAACCAAAAATATCCCTTCTTTGGTTTTAACCCCTTTTTAAACACTCAAATATTCTCAAACCCACAACTAAACCCGAAACCTAAAGGGTTAAAGGTTTACCTTGGGTGCTAGAGTAAACTCTTTACTTCGATGAAGTAAGCGGCGGTCAAGCCTTTTCAAAAGGTTAATTTTCATCTTTCTTTCGAATGGGTTTTTTTATGGATTTGAATGTGGTTGGGGTTTTTTTAGTTTTCTCTGGAATGCCTCTCCCTCTTCTTTTTTCTCCCTTGTATGTTTTCTCCCTCGGATCTTTCCTCGAATCACTCTAGTTTTTCCTTGATATCTTTCTTCCTTTTAATCTGCTGGTATGATGGATTGATGATGGCTTTGGTTCCCGAAGCATAGGGTATGAGTGCCCTAGATTGACAGTCCCAATTTCTTCGGGATTTCTTTTTATTTGTTCTGATCTTTCTGCTAATTTTTACTGTTGACATGTATATCTTGTCACTGTAGGTGAAGTGGCGGCGTCAGCGGTGGTCGGCAACAGCTCACGCGAAAAAGAAGTAAAATGGCGGGCACATCGATCATACACGTGATCGAACGGTCCAGATCAATCGGCGGCGGCGGTTGGATAGCCTTTAGGGTTAAAACCCTAATACTTGAGCGATCTGGTTCATTGGATGGGTCCAGATCCAACGGTGGAGATCATGGGCGACTGATAGCTAAAAATGAGAACCCTACGAGTCTGGGTCTGGTGCTGGGCCGGTTCAGGTCGGCTGGTTTTATATTGGGCTGCTGGATTCTCTTATAGTGGGTTGGGTTGGTTCAATTGTTGTTGGGCTGCCTGGGTTGAGGGCATGTAAAATGTAAATAACATTTATTAATATTATAATAATAATAATAATAATTAATAATATTTTTTAAGATCCGGACAAAAATGAGTATCTACACTTTAGATGGAAAATAAATAAATCAACTAAATTATTTGAAATAATTCTATTCAATTAAATATTTTTTATAAATGATTAAACAATCATTTCGATTAGTTTGTTTTATAAAAAGTTGAATTAAATTTGATTAGCGGAAATATGTTTAAGGTTAAAGTCCTAAAACATGGCCCAATATATCCAGTCTTCCGAAGACGATGAAGTCGAAGCTCAATTTAAATTCAGCGTGGAACTTAAATTAGACCCGAAATCGGAATCTCCATCCTTGAACTCTTAACAACACTAACCACTTACCTTCTCTCTCCCTTAGAAGCTAACCCAGTAAAGATGCAAGCAATTACGAGACGTTTAGGGCAGCAATATCTGAGGCCAACAGCTTCCATCTCTTCTATCAAGTCCATTTATCCTCTTTCCTATCACTGTATCATTTCCATTCCCTCTTTTTTAATTTCTCGGTTTATCTTTTTTCCTCTTCCATTTTAGTGGTTGTTGTTTAGCATTTCCATCGAATTGATGGTTTTTTTTCTGTTTTTTAAATCATTTTATTATCGGTTTTTTTAAGATTATGGAGGTGATCATCCGCGATACGGATCTACGCTGGCCTTCCACAAGGGCACGGGTCACCTCATTCGCAAGGGCACCGGTGGCCGATCCTCCATCAGGTCATTCTCGGGATTTTAACTTTTTTTTTCGTTGAATGTTCTATGTGGGAGTGCCGGAAATGATTTCGCCTTCTCTTGCAGTGGCATTATAGCTACTTTTTTGGATCTACTGGATTCCTTGGTCGTTATCTTGTGCAACAGCTTGGTAATATAATCTTAATGTTTTAGTTATTATTGTACATTATTTGCTGCTCAAATATTTCATGTTTCGCCTTAAAATGTGCGTTTCTGAGTGCTTGTTTTGTTTTTACTTCTGAATCCCACTTGAATATTTATTTGCAGTAGTCGTCTTCAACTCGTTTAATTCCAAAATTCCATTTTATTTTCCTGCAAAATTTTCTTTAAAATATGTCTTCGATACATCGCAATATCAGAAAATTTTCAAGTTTTTTGTCCCAATTTTCATCAGTTTTTTTATAGTTTGTCCTTCCTGAAATCATTTTTTTTTCTAATCAATTATGTGTTGATTAACTTTATTTTTCTCTCACAAATTCAGGTTATCATTATCGATCTTATAGACCATCACTCAACTCAGTAGTTTTCATCGAATCATTTGTTTCAGCATTGCAATAAAATTAACGCTAGATTTTCTAAGAGATTTTCAGGTAACCCCTATAGAAAAATATTAAAATTTAAAAGTTCATAATTTATGTTCTTGTTGTAATGTAAGTTACAACATTTGAGTGAGTTTTACTCTCCTAATTTACCAAGTACAGTCTCTTTCAGGCACTCAACAATCTCACAACAGTCTCGTTTCTCTATTTCTGAAACCCATATATTGGCTTTCATGAAATCTGCTTTTGATCAGCTCCAAGGTATTTGAATCTATTACTTTTTTTCTGGTACTTTGAAAAGATGTTAATTAACCAATATAATGTCTTCTATTAAGGTCCTAATCATTTCTGGTTGAATAAAGATGATGGAAACAAAGAATTTTTAAAGAAGGGTGGTACGATTTTAGTTGTTGCTGGAAGGTTATTTGAGAATTCAGAGATATTAGGACGCCATTCAGGTGTTATACTTGAAAAAGTGAAGTTGCTTCAGCAGAGGTAGAGAGATAGTAGATATTTGTTTCTCTTAGTTAAATACTATGTTTTTTCCGTTTGAGGAAAAAGGTTAATGTTTTACTGTTATAGGTTCCCTTCAATAGAGGTTATTGGTTTCCAAGACCGCATTTCAGTTTGCTCTACCGGTGATCAAAGTCAATTTATTCAATTGATAATGGAAGAATACATTACTTTTCCTGTTTTGTTGACAAACAAAAATTTTTCTAAGGTACAATTTTGAAATGGAACTATGTAAGGCTACATGGCTGCAAAGCCATACATACCCACGAATGAAATTTTTGCCATAAACTAGTGAGAATTGCATTTTACTCAAAACATACTCTCACAATTAAGTTATGTCATCAAGTATGATTCCCTCAGCTTCTTAGAAGGATCCAATGAGATGTTCTTCTTTATTCTATTGGCATTCAACATAGATCAATCTTATCTTATAGAATACCATTTTCTACCAACTCCTTTTATGTATTTATACTTTAGTATAAAAATGATTATTTTATTAAAAAGCAATTGAAATATAGGGAAAAAGAGAAAGGTGTCAAAGCATTGACAACTCAGAGCAACTTGGAACTAGGACAGAGTTTAAGCATAGATTTTTGTGATGAATTTCTCCAAAGCTATGTCATGAATTTTTAAAGCTGTATCACATGGCCATGTATTGTCTCTGTGATTTTTAACATGGTTTACAAATTAGAATTTGTTTACTATGATTGACTAATTTCTTCTCAAGGATCTGTTCTATTATATTTCTTGACATTATACATTTTTCATGTAGATTGATTATTTTTTTCCTTTTTTCTCTTTATGTACTTAGTTGACGGACGAGGCTTGCTTCATTTTGTCTAAAGATTTTAAGAATCCTCTAATTTTCCCTGAGAAAGACCTGGATATAGCAATGCTTAACAAAGGTATATTTCTTACTTATGTGTAACAACTAATTTATTCACTTTGATGGTGTTGTTTTTACATTAAGAATCTTTCATAAGGAATGAATTGATTGTTGCGCTTTCTTTCTATTACGTTTTTTAACAAACAAAAAATTTATTTTCTCGTACAAATTTTATGGCCTTTAGACTCCAAAATACTTAGTATGATTGGTGAACTTTGAGCTTCTTAATTTGCACATTCAAAAACAATCATTTAAGGGTTAACTTATGATTGTAGGCTTCTTCATTTGATCTTTGAGCTTCTTCATTTGCATGCTAAAACAATCATTTGATGAATAATTTATAAAGTCCGAAAATGAAATGGTTGACCTATAAAAGCATTGTCCTAAATTCTTCTCTATCCCCTTTTTCCTTCCTCCTATATAGTAGTTTGTATTCCCTAAGCTCCTACATTTTGACATGCTCTTCCTTTCAACATGGTTATTACCATATCAATACATTTCTTCTTTATGGCTACAACCTTCTCCATCTCTTTGAGTTGGATCTCTTCTCAAAGGAATTATCTTGTTATGAATATGGTTTGTGGTTTATATTTCTACCTGTGGTTATGCACTTTCCCGGCATTCACATGTACACATATGGGTACACAATTCTCCATGCATGCTTGTACACTTATATCTAACTTTCTTGTCTTCTGGTTCTACTTCCTTTTGTAGCTTTTGAGGAGTTAAGTCTGCAATGCCAAGTTAAGAATACCGCAGTTCATAATTTGCAAAGTTCGTGGTCAAAAGAAGCTGAGATCATTAAGGAACCCCAGTTTTGCATTGCTTTGCGAAATTTACTTCTTTACTTTCCTGGTATACGTCTCTTATGGCACTATTTCTCCTGATAGTACATAAGCTTTAGCAAATATGTAAGACGGTCAAATGAAAAATGCAATATTCTTAAAGCACTCATTTTTTCTTAAACAGCATGTATCTCAGCAGATGAAAGTAGGAAGCGTCTGTTCCTTTCTGATAGCAATCATCATCGGATAATTATATTTGATGGCAATGGGAAGATTTTAGACCGTGTAAGCACATAAACTCATACATTGCATAGATTGTTTTAAGAATTATCTTTGGCTGGTGATTATTCTTAACTATGCAGTATTTTGATTGATAAATTTAGTATATACTGCAACAAGTAGAAATATAAATAAGGAAAATTAGGTACTTCCCAAACTAATTAATTTAGCAAAATGCAAAAACGAAAAAGTTTTCTTTTGAAAGAAAACAAATCAAAATGACTATTTCTTCCTTTTTGGCTACTTAGATGATCTGAAATAGGTCAGGACGACATCATTTTGGCATATTGCTAGATCTTTTATAACGGTTGAATAGTTTTCAATGGATGCCACATAAGTTTTGTGCTAGTAATAATTTCTGCCTAGGGATGTAAAATTTTGGGTTCATAGATTGCTTTTATATCCTTGTTATTGTTTGTTTGGTATTTCCCTTTATATATAAGCTGAAATAAGGGATAAAACAGTTTAGATTTCAACTTAACTTTTTTATATGTCAGATTGGTTCTTGCCCAGGTTTTGAGGATGGTGAATTCGAGTCTGCAAAACTGCTTCGCCCTGCTGCTTCCTTTTATCATGATAGTGAAGATTGCCTTTATATTGTAGATTATGAGGTATAGTTTTAGGGTCTTTACATGATTTCATATTTTGACTTATATTTAAGGCACTAAGTAAGGTCTCAGGGTTTAAAAATCTTTGTGCTACAAGATTGGTTATGATTTTGGCAAGAAACAAAATGTAAATTTAATGCTTCTGACAATTTTCTTGATGTATATAATGTGCATCTTAGGATCTCTACATTAGGCTTCCTTTATAAAATGAAAAATTGAGATGAATTCTTTGCAATTATATCCTATAAGTCACTCAGAATATTTTTACTTGCCTTCTTTTTTCTGGTCTGATGTATATAATGTATTGTGATACGCCAGTGGAATTTTAATTAGGTTTTAATTAATATTATTGGTTTGGTCCCATCTGTTAAGAATCATGCCATCAGGAGAGCTGATTTGGAAAGGAGGGTTTTGGAAACAGTTTATCCAACATCTAGCAACAAGAGAAGCACTAGTTTGTGGACCTGGATCAGGACCAAGCTAGGTTTTGCCAGTGATGCTGATGTGAAATTTGAAGAGCATGATTCTCGGGCCCTAATGTATCCTTGGCATCTGATAAAGTCGGTGGATAATAATTTTTTAATTGCCAGTCGAAGGTAAATCTTCTTATTGTACTTCTCTCATCAACACTTTAGACACTTTTTTTCGTATAATTCTTTTTACACTCCTTAAAGCTCCATGGTTGTTAAACCTATTCTTTACAACCTTTTCTTTTTATTTGTTTATTCATTTTTTAAATTTTGTTGGTTGCTTATTTGTTGTTTTTAACTTCAAGGTAATGAAAATTATCTATCTTCTTGTGCCAAGATAGCAATGCTAACAGTGCTCCAAAAATCCATGTTTTTATTGTTGTTGCCAATGTCTTCAATCATTAGACCACATAAGTGATGCTTATGATTCTACTTAATGGTGTTTGCAGCTTTGAGAATTTATGGGTTATGGATTTTGCATCAGGAGCGATTAAAGAAGTTGTCAAAGGTTCAAAGTTATTTTTCTATATGTTCATTGTTTGTATTTTAATCTGCTGAGTCCGTCTAATATTTCTTATATCATTTCTCTATGAAGGACTTCCAAATACTTTGGAGTTCTGCAGACACTTTATCTCAGAGAAAGTATCCCTCCTGAAAACGATGCCAGATTTTCTGTTGCAACAACAAAGTGATGTCAACTTATCACGAAAGAAGATCCCATATGTTGGTCTTATATCATGTGTTACAGCTTTTGAAAATCACATAATCATGTCTGACACTGGTACTCAATTTTTGTTTCTGTTTTATGTTTTGCCTCTTTAAACGGATGCATAGTGAAACTTTCAAGGATTACTCATTTCTTAATGTATATTTCAAGTGGGTCAAGGAGTTCTAAAACTAAATAGAGAATCTGGAATCAGTTCAAATTTCCAGTTTTCTAATCTCGGGATGCTCGGTCTACCTTACTGGTTGTCCTTCCCTCTGGAAAGATTTTATGCTCTGTGAGTATTTTTGTCTTACTAGATATGTTCTCCCTGAATTCCTTTGTTTTTCTCTCAACCCCTTTCCCTTTTTCAATTCTTTTGGTGCTTTTTTCCTCTACATAGATGGATTCATGCCAAGTCATTAATGTCTTGCAAACCCTGCATAATGACAATATTGTTCTTCTTTGTGGTAATTTAAGTGAGTTTTTCTTTCTAATTCCACTGATTTTTTTTATCTTTTCTTCATTGATTTACAGTGCTGCGGGACTTTCTGTTGGACAAACTGATCATATTCAGCAATTCAGTTTGTTGCCAGGTAGATTACTGGCTACAGTTAGTGTTTTGTTCTTTGCATTCCGTTGTACAAATAATGTTTAGCTGCTATGACCTCCATTCTTTCAAAGGTGCTTAGATGTATACCTACATCACATGCCATTGTTTGATTCTTTTTTCTTTGCCCAAAAAACGTTATCTAACAGGTAAGGTTGACATTCGGTTAAGCATAGACATCCCCAATGACACTGAACTTGTGGAACCTTTGCATGAAAGTTGCATATGGTTCCAAGCAAGGGGTGCTGCTACTGAGTTATCAGTGGGGGAGAGAGTGGCAGGATCCTCGGAGAAGGTTTTCACCTTTCATTCCTGTGATTCCCTTTGGTTAGTTGTGTGATAAGGAGCTTAATTCAGTTATTGGGTTTATACAGGTAGGTGTTGCACAACAATGGTATGATGAACTGGACAATCTTGCCTTTGAATCAGAACTGGTAATCGAAGATGACAATTCTACTATGGATACAAATTCTCAAGATAAGAGAATTCACATTGATTGTATAGTTAATACAAGCCCTGGAACAAGTGAGGTATATTTTCTCTCCATCTCTCTCGCTCTCTCCCCTCAGTGATTGGTGCCACATGTACCAACTTTTATGTTCTTCAGCCTAGGTACAAAGTGACTGATTTCAGTTTTTAACTTTCACCATACAGGTTATAATTTATGCAGCACTGTATATAAAACTTAGAAGAAATCATGTTGTAGAAGATGACAACAATCAGGAGAAATTTGCAGCAAGGATAGCAAATATTTTGAACCCCAAGGGAAATGAAAGGTTCAGTGACGATTCTTGCACCAAGTTCTTGTTAAAATCTAACAGAGATTTGAGAGATCTCATTTTCATAAAACCATTGCACGTGAGAATAAAGTTCAATTCTCATAATCACCCAAAAGCTGAAAACTCAAAAGACGTTATCTTAACTGATTCCTCCATTAAAGTTGATGTGTCCTTGAACTGAAGGCATGATGTTGATGCTGCCATACTTGAACTGAAGGCATGATGTTGATGCTGCCATATTTTTATAATTCAACCCTGCTGTATTGATGTACCATATAATTTGGTTAGGAAATTTAAGCTGTAATACTCTTCTTTTTTATACCTGTAATTCTGCTACTGTCAAATTTTCACTGTTTTATAGGAAGGAAAATTATGTCTTTTGTCATTGTGTTTGATACAAAGAATGGAAAAACCAATGGATTTCTGGAATAATTTGGGTGATGGGTTCTGCAGCATTGTCTTTCTAGTTACAAGCTAATGTTTATCAATGGAATATCCTGAAACGAAATGCATGCCATTGCCAGACTTTTATCTTTTGCTTCAAGACTGGAGGATTTTATCACATAACATTATCGATACAATGTCCACACACACACAAAAAAAAAAAAAAAAAAAAAGGATCCCACATTTGTCTCCATTTTCCACGGAATTTTCCTCCCTATATATCCTCTCTTTGTCCGTTTCATTTCTAACCAACAACTAAGAATGTTTCGCTCGTTTTTTGTTCCAATTCTAAGGTCACTATTTCTTTCAATCACCTTATTGTTCCATGAAGGTTTTTTCTTTTTCGTTGATCTTATTCTGGGATTTCCTACTGGAACTTTGTATAGTTAATTTTTTACTACAATTCAGAATTTTAACAATGGGCTTAAATTACTCGATAGGCTTCTTCACTCTATTACTCAATAGCATTTCAGTTAAAGAACCTCCACATTTCTCCCTTGTGAGGGAAACTCAAGGTTTGCCCATTTTGGAACTATCCTCCATTTCCATCAATTTAGCACTTGTCCTGGTGTTTCTTTTCATAATATCAGCAAGGTAAATATCTGCTTGTGCTGGTAGAATTTGTTTACATAAGGACGATTCTGTTCCAATTTCTAGCCCAATTAGGGGAAGCATTACTGTTGATGGAGAACGTCAGCAGGTTATAGTACGTGTTGGGTTTAAATTGTCTGTGTTTTGTTGTTTCTATGTGCTTCTCGTGCAAGTTGTGGTGCTAGGATTTGATGGATTCGGTTTAATAAGAAAAGCTGTTGATGGGAAAGTTGTGGATTGGTTTGCACTTGCCTTGCCTGCTGCTCAATGTTTAGCTTGGTTTGTATTAAGTTTCTCAGCTCTCCATTGTAAATTTAAGGTGTATGAGAGATTCCCATTGTTGCTAAGGGTATGGTGGTTTGTTTCTACTTTGATTTTCTTGTGCACCTTGTATGTTGATGGTAAATCGCTCTTAGTAGATGGTTCAAACTACTTTTCTTCTCATGTAGTGGCCAATTTTACCGTAACCCCAGCACTTGCATTTCTTTGTTTTGTTGCAATTAGAGGTGAGACTGGTATAGAAGTTTGTAGAAACTGACCTTCAGGAACCATTACTTCTTGAAGAAGAGGCAGGGTGTCTTAAAGTCACTCCTTACAGTGATGCTGGGCTCTTTAGCTTGGTCACACTTTCTTGGCTAAATCCACTTCTTTCACTCGGTGTGAAACGATCGCTTGAGCTCAAGGACATTCCTCTTCTTGCACAAAAAGATCGAGCCAAGAGTAACTATGGGGTTTTGAATTTTAATTGGGAAAATTGAAGGCTGAAAACCAGTCGGAGCAACCTTCTTTGGCTTGGGCACTTGGGAAGTCATTCTGGAAGGAAGCAGCCTGTAATGCTGTATTTGCTCTGTTGAACGCTCTAGTGTCCTATGTGGGCCCATACATGATTAGCTACTTTGTTGATTACTTGGGAGGAAGGGAGATTTCCCTCATGAAGGTTATGTTCTCGCCGGGATCTTTTTTGTATCGAAGCTCGTGGAGACGTTGACAACCCGGCAGTGGTATCTCGGGGTAGACATTTTGGGTATGCATGTGAGATCAGCTCTAACAGCAATGGTGTATCGCAAAGGGATAAAGCACTCGAGCTTAGCTAAACAAAATCATACCAGTGGAGAAATTGTTAATTACATGGCAGTTGATGTTCAAAGAGTGGGAGATTATTCTTGGTATCTCAATGATATTTGGATGCTTCCACTGCAAATAATTCTTGCTCTTGTGATATGATATAAAAATGTTGGAATTGCTTCCATTGCCACATTGATTGCAATCATTATATCCATTGCTGCTACTGTTCCTTTAGCAAAGGTCCAAGAAGATTATCAAGACAACTTAATGGCTGCCAAAGATGAAAGAATGAGGAAGACTTCTGAGTGTCTAAGGAACATGAGGATTTTGAAATTACAAGAACCACTCAGGAATTTTCCTGACCTGGTGTCTATGATGGTGCAGATAAAGATCGAATTTCTGGATTCCTGCAGGAAGATGTCACCATTGTTCTGCCCCGAGGCATGTCAAAGGTGGCCATAGAGGTTAAGGATGGTGAGTTTTTTTGGGACCCTTCTTCTTCAAGGCCGACCTTATATGGAATACAATTGAAAGTAGAAAGTGGGATGCGTGTGGCAGTTTGTGGCACGGTTGGCTCCGGGAAATCAAGCTTTTTGTCTTGCATCCTAGGGGAGATATCTACGATCTCTGGGGAAGAACGACTAGCTCATAGAACATTTAAACAATTTCTACCCCAAATTTGGTTCTTTGTTAGTTCTATTATCTTTTCCCCATTAATGGAAAAGCTTTTTGAATTGTTATTATCATTTTACTTGGATGTTTGAACAGGTTTGAGTGTGTGGTACAGCTGCCTATACCTCTCAGTTGACTTGGATACAGTCTGGAAATATTGAAGAGAACGTTCTTTTTGGTAGTCCAATGGATAAAGCAAGATACAAGAGTGTTATCAATGCTTGTTCCTTGAAGAAGGATTTTGAACTCTTTTCACATGGAGATCAGACCATAATATAAATCTGAGTGGTGGGCAGAAACAACGTGTGCAGCTTGCAGTGCTCTTTATCAAGATGCAGATATTTATTTACTTGATGACCCTTTCAGTGCCGTTGATGCACACACTAGCTAGGAACTGTTCAAGGTTTAACTCGGTCAAATATACTGCAGGTATTGATGTTCGTATCAATAGAATTTGGCTGAGCAATTCATTTTTTGAAACTGCAGGAATACATAATGACAGCACTGGCAAGTAAGACTGTTGTTTTTGTGACTCGTCAAGTTGAATTTCTACCTACTGCAGATTTGATACTGGTATGGAATGGTTTCTATAAATATACATATATATTCTGCTAGCAGTACTACATGCAATGATGCATGCTTCAAGTACACTCTTTCTAATGAGGTGGTTGAATCCATGGCTTTGAACCTGCATTGCCTTTTCTTTTCGTTCGAGGAAAAAGATATATTATTTTTCCAAACTAATCCTTGTTCAAGGCTATGGTCCCCCTCCATCCCAATGCAATATTCCCACTCTTTATCCAATATCATGTCCAGTATTGGTGGTTTTTGAATGTGATCGACTAATCTAAAGTAGCTGAGATTAAAATGATCTAATTAGTGAATTACAGTAATGACATGCAACAAGCAACACCATAGGAGATAACAATACACTGCCCTCAATACTATAACAAAGTCAATACTGACATGGAATATTAGTCAAAATGGTGCCTCTTACTGCATGACTATGGACCAGATAAATAGTGACATATCAGTTTTACTTTTGGCATCTGAACGTGAAAGATGGTAGCAGGGTCTAAAAATTAGCATGGGAGACAAATTGTACCTTTACAAGGAGATAAAAATGTAAAGGTGGTGGAGATGAGGTGTTATTTCCGCATATAACTCTCTGCCTTTTTGACATTTTTTAATATAATAATGAATTTTCTTGGATTAATTGTGCAGTACAAGTGCTCAGTGTCATATTTTCCGGGTTCCAGTTTAAGAGTTGTAATATATATAATATACATATTTTTGCTATAGGTGGGTGATATGATGAGATTGGTTTTTCATACATTTTGCTGAATATCTATTCTCCAATGTCATCAATCATATGTGCAGGTTCTTAAGGAAGGTCGAATCATACAGGCAGGAAAATATGATGAACTTCTACAAGCAGGCACTGATTTCGAAAGTCTGGTCTCAGCTCACCATGAAGCAATTGAAGCCATGGATATTCCAACTCACTCATCACAAGACTCGGATGAAAATTTGCAGCTTGATGGGAAAATTTTATTAACTAAAAAATGTGATTTCGCTGGAAATAATATTGACAATTTGGCAAAGGAAGCGCAAGATGGTGCATCAGCTTCAGACACAAAGGCAATTAAAGAGAAAAGGAAAGCAAAGAGGAGAAAAAAATCAGCTTGTTCAAGAAGAGGAAAGGGTAAAAGGAAGAGTCAGCATGAAGGTGTACTTGTCATATATGACGGCTGCATATAAAGGCCTTTTGTTACCACTTATTGTTCTTGCACAAACATTATTCCAGTTCCTTCAAATTGTTAGTAATTGGTGGATGTCATGGGCAAACCCCCAGACTGATGGAGACCAATCTAAAGTCAGTCCTATGATCCTCCTCGTTGTTTATATGGCCCTTGCTTTTGGGAGCTCTTGGTTTATATTTATGAGGGCTATTCTGGTAGCCACATTTGGTCTAGCAGCTGCGCAAAAATTGTTTATCAATATGCTTAGAAGCGTGTTTCGAGCCCCGATGTCTTTTTTCGATTCAACTCCAGCTGGGCGGATCCTGAATTGTTATAAGTACTTTTTTTTATATATATTTCCACCTGACTATATATGCTTAAAGTTGTTAAGTTTTCCTTTTGGCTCTGTGAAATCTACTTCCTTTTTTTCAGATTATACTACGACCATGATTTGTAAACTCGCAGGTGTCTGTATTTAAGCCTTTACTTTTAGATTCCTGCATGTGGAGTTGAAACAGCGGCAACTTGTTTCCCTTGGCAGGGCTTTGCACAAACAGGCAAGAATACTCGTGCTCGATGAAGCAACAGCATCAGTTGATACTGCCACCAACAACCTCATACAGAAGATCATCAGAACAGAGTTCATGAACTGCACCGTTTGCACATCGTATTCCGACCATAACCGCAGTGATCTTGTTTTGATGTTGAGTGATGGTATGTACAACTGTCTTTTAAGTTTTCATTTTTATGTTCATGATGCTTCAGTATTATTTTCACTGAAAGTCTCGACGTTTTCCAAATAAATCGGGAACTTATTTGCAGTTCGAGTTGCAGAGTTTGATACTCCGGCACATCTCTTGGGAGATACATCATCAATGTTTCTGAAGTTAGTAACCGAGTATTCCTCTAGATCAAGTGGCATACCAGATTTTTGAAACAGATTGCAAGCCCAAAATTCTTCTTCCAGTCGGGCATCGGACCGTCCAAGAGTGAACCTGTGCCACTGCTTCTTTATTGCAGCACTCGGCTAACACAACGACAAATAGCAATGTGCAGACCAAGCCATTTAAACCAAAATCTCAAGTAATTTCAACTCCAAGGTAATTTTCAAGTAAATTCATCCCCTCAAGTGGGTTCGGAAAATTCATGCAGGGTTAGCAACCTGACATACCTTGTAACCGAAAATAAGCTCGATGGGTAGAGTCTGATAATAATACATGGGAGAAAATAAAAAACAACGGTGGGTTCATATTTGTTCAAGATGTGCAATAAAATAGTAGCTTAGAGAATAAGTTGAGATGTAGTTGGGACAATCTTTTAGAGTTGAAGTAGTTAGAACCCACTCTTTCTACTGGGAAAAAGTTGAGTTGTAGACTGAAGAATATAAATTTTGCATCTTCTCTTTAATTGCAGCTTCTGTTATACATGTATGTATACACACACACATACACGTCCAAGTGAATGCATTCAAACATGCCTCCTATCAGGGGCGGACCCAGGGGTTGCCAGGGGTAGCCCGGGCAACCCCTCAAATTGTGAGGAACATTGATCAAATGATATTATTTTAGTATTTTTATATATATTGTGATTTTTAGGTAGAATCCTTATATTTCAGATAAATTCTTATAGAAAAAAAATTTTATACAACAAAATTGTCTACTTAGTGTTAATTTTTTCTAATTTTTTTTAATTAATACAAGTGTCACCTTTAATATTGTGCAACCCCTAAAAAAATTTATAAGAATTTTTTTGTGCAACCCCTGAATTTTTGTCATAGGTTCGCCCCTGCCTCCTATGACAATTTTGCAAGTTTTTAGAAGAAACTGCAATGGTGTAAGCGTTCCTTTTCGGTTTGTTGCTCTGTATATAAGGAGTATCGAAACTATTAAATGATTTTATAAATTTTTATTATCAATTAATTTGATTAAAAATGATTAATTGATAAATTCAACCTCTTAATTGAAATTAATAATTGAAAATATTAAATATATATAGAATGTTTTTCTCGACAATACACATATGCTTGACAAATTTTTGTTCCAATTTAGTGCACACTATCATCATAATGATGTTTGTATGTAACGAAATTCTTTGGATAGAAAATAAATAAATAAATCAGCTGAATTATTCGAAATTATTCTATTCGATTAAATATTTTTATAAATGATTAAACAATCATTTCGATTATTTTTTATAAAAAAATGAATTAAATTTGATTAGCCAAAATATGTTTGAGGGTAAAGGCCTAAATCATGGCCCAATATATCCAGTCTTCCAAAAACGATGAAGTCGAAGCTCAAATTAAATTCAACATGGAACTTAAATTAGACCCAAAATCTGAATCTCCATCCTTGAACTCTTGACAACACTAACCACTTACCTTCTCTCTCACTGAGAAGCTAACCCAGTAAAGATGCAAGCGATTACGAGACATTTAGGGCAGCAATATCTGAGGCCAACAGCTTCCATCTCTTCTATCAAGTCCATTTATCCTCTTTCCTATAACTGTATCATTTCCATTCCCTCTTTTTAATTTCTCGGTTTATCTTTTTTCCTCTTCCATTTTAATGGTTGTTGTTTAGCATTTCCATCGAATTGATGGTTTTTTTTCTGTTTTTTAAATCATTTTATTATCGGTTTTTTTAGATTATGGAGGTGATCATCCGCGACACGGATCTACGCTGGCCTCCCACAAGGGCACAGGCCACCTCATTCGCAAGGGCACCGGTGGCCGATCCTACGTCAGGTCATTCTCACTTTTTTTCGTTGAATGATCTATGTTGGAGTGCCGGAAATGATTTGCCTTCTCTTGCGGTGGCATTATAGCTACTGTTTTTGGAGCTACTGGATTCCTTGTTCGTTATCTAGTGCAACAGCTTGGTAATATAATCTTAATGTTTTAGTTATTATTGTACATTATTTGCTGCTCAAATATTTCATGTTTCGCCTTAAAAGTGCGTTTCTGAGTGTTTGTTTTGTTTTTACTTCTGAATCCCAATTGAATATTTATTTGCAGTGTGTATACTGATTTTTGTTTATTTTTTTAGCTAAAATGGGATCTCAGGTGTTGGTTCCTTTCCGACGTTCTGAGGATAACCCTCGTCATCTCAAACTGATGGGAGATTTGGGACAGGTACCATATGAAATTGCCTTCTATTTATTGAAATTTATGTTCACTTTCTATTTCTCGTGCTCAGATAGTGGCAATGAAATATGATCCAAGGGATGAAAATTCAATCAAGGCTGTGATGGCAAAGGCTAATGTTGTTATCAATCTCATCGGTATGCAATGCCTCTCTTCTGATTCTACCAACGAAAGAAATTTAAATATTGGATTTGTATGATTGGTATTGCTTATATTGACAAGGAGAGAGTATGAGACAAGAAACTATAGCTTTGAGGAAGTAAACCATTTCATGGCTGAACAACTGGCAGTGGTATGTTGGAACTTTCATAATTCATTCACATTGAAATTAGCGCCCATAATCTATTGATAATGTTATTAGCATGATTTTAGATCTATTCTTGTATATGGGCTAAATGTTATCCTCAGTCCTTTTTTGGACGAAGGTGTGGGTTTGTGGGGTTTGGAGTAGAAGAAAATGTATGTACAACCTTTGACTTTGAGGAAAGGGGAGTTTAGGTATGCATGCTACTTGATCCTTTATCGTATATATCTTTAAATTTGGATCTAAACAGCAAGTTGTTTAACTGAATTTCTTGTTATTTACAACAATTCATGACCAAATTGTTAGTGATGCATCTTTATCAAGTGTTTAACATGAGGAGCAGTGTATAATTTGTGGATTTTGACTTTATGTCTCATCATCTTGTGCTCTCAACTACTTTTAACTAAGCGTAAATGCGTAATTTTTGTGGAGTTTTAAACACTTAATGTGTTAGTTTTCCCCTGATTTCAGATTGCCAAAGAACATGGTATCACGAGATTTATTCAAGTTTCTTGCTTAGGGCTCTGTCATCCTCATCAAGATTTCTAAGAGCTAAGGTTGCTGGAGAAGAAGCTGTTTTGAAAGAACTTCCGGAGTTAATTAATTTTTAGCTTCTACAACCTGAGATGGCAATGATGATGCAGCGACTTTATTAGAATGTAGGCAAAATGAGCTTGTGTATCAATAATTACGAAATGGTGTTATATGTGCAAAAATTGGGAGATAAAGAAACTTTTGCATATAAAGAAAATTAGTTCAGAAGGAGATAAAAAAATGGCATATTTTATTTAGCTTAAGTGCATGGATAGCCATTCCTATGATCTTGCACCCCTCTCAATAGAGAGAGCTTTTCGTGAAATGAGAGTTAATTTTGACACAGTTTTATAGGAGTGTTTATGTCTCTCTGTTGTTGCCATTTTTGCTCTTGCTTTCATCTCTTTTGGGGCTTCACAAATTAAGTTATTCGCTATTGTGTTCCTACTTAACATGATGTGGTAAATGCTTTTTGATGCTTTGGAGTTTGGGCTTTATTGTGGTTTTTTTAGTTGCTTCAGTATGCTGTTTATTTGGACAACAATATCTTGTTTTAGTTATATGAACTTCTTGTATTATTGCTTGTACATATGAGAACTTGAGATAAAAGTGTGTTTCAAACTTTCATTGTCATAATAGAGGTGAAAACATGGAGTTGATGACTTGACTCGTCTTCCTTTAGATTATAACTATTATTTGCAACATTGCTCATTTTGCAAACTGTTTCCATATTGTCGTAATGCTATTGCAATGGCTTACTTCAAGTTCTCCTGTCATCCTTAGCAAGAGTAGATTTCAAGTTCATTTGTTTTCTATTTAAGCTTTGATTGGAGTAAATTGTTATTTTTCACTCTTACTAATGTGTAATACCGAACTTTTCATGCTTCTTACCTGATAGCTATATATGAAATTTCTCAAAGAAATGACCTGGAAATGCCATGCATTTATTATTGCACAAAGTTGTTGAATTTCACATTATCCAAACTTAGTTTTGGACTTGGAATAAACATTTGATTTCAACTCTAGGATATCGTGAGAATATTGCATAACTCAGGCAATGCAATCATAACAATAACCTGAATAGCGCAGAACCTAATTGCATAATAAAATTACAAAAGCATCTCTTTCCTGGTTAATTTGAGTGAAGGGAAGTGAGAATAGTAAAAGGGCTGAAGCTGAACTGAGTTGAAAAGGTTTGCTTAGCTCATTAAAGGTCCCTAGGCTTCCGTTTTTTAATGTTATTTATGGTTTCAACGTCACCACTTTTATCATATTATTCCTTCTACAGGCCACTGTCATGAGACCTGCTGTAATGATTGGTACTGAGGATCGGATTATGAATCCATACTTTGCTAAGAAATTTAGCTTTCTTCCGCTTATTGGTGATGGATCTACCAAGTAATTTTGGATTATAGCCTGATCCTTCTAATTGAAATTTGTTGGGTCTGTTTCTTCTGGAAGCTTTGTGCATCTTTTTCTAACAATAGTTTCTTTACAGAATCCAGCCTGTATATGTTAATGATGTTGCTTCTGCAATCGTTGCGGCCTTGAAAGATGATGGAACAAGCATGGGAAAAGTCTATGAGTTGGGTGGACCAGATATCTATACCGTGCATGAACTGGTAATTACGTTCCCTCTTGATGATTTATTGAACAATGCTTCTTGGTGTAACTGATCATAGAATACACTGCAGGCCGAGCTTATGTATGACATGATCCGTGAATGACCGCGCTATGTAAATGTACCTTTACCCATTGCGAAGGTAATATTTTAACCCTTGTATTTGGACAAGTGATACAAGCAAGCTGTTCTAAGTTAGTGCACCCTTTTATTCTATTGTCTAATTGTCAGGATTGACTATATGCATGGTAAAAGAGTTTGTTATGCTAGCAGTACAGATGTCTTTAAAATATCAATGGAAGGCATGTTGTGCCATTTATTCCTTGATCGTGACTCTAATTAACATAATTAGTTATTGTGCTTCTAGATTCATACTCATCTTTCTGTTCTTATGGTCATATACATTGTTGTTGCTCATTACTGTTTAACATTGAATTATAGATTAACAGCTCATCATATGATGGTTTCAGGCAATTGCCATGCCTAGAGAGGTATTACTCAAGAAAGTGCCATTTCCACTACCAAATCCTGACATCTTCAACCTGGATCAAATACTAGCATTTGCATACGATAATGGGTCGGTTGAAATAATTTCAGACTATAATGTCTAAAAATTTATTAGTATAATTTTAACTGTTGTGACAAGATGTGTTCATCTCATTAACCCCTTGTTTTTGTGGTGGGTTTTGCAGCTTTAACTTTTATGGATTTGGGTGTTTTACCACATAAGTTGAAGGGATACCCGGTCGAGTTTCTTATCCAATACCGTAAGGGCGGTCCACAATTTGGTTCTACAGTCGGTGAAAAAGTAAATCCAGATTCTTATCCTTAATTTACAATGTGTTTTCTTCTCTCTTTTTCCCTAAAACGCCTCTGATCCACTCTTAAAAATCCAATTCACACCTACAGCCATCTATCAAATTCACAATTGTTTTACGCATTAAAAAGAAAGCATTATTTGAGTGGGATTGATCGGAATTACTAGTTGTGGATGCATCCAAATTTCCTTTATTTCGAGAAGAGGGGCTTCTCGGTGTGGTGATGATGCAGCATCCCAATCGCTCATTTATTTCGTGTTTCATAGGTCACATGGAGTTCAGCACCACAGATTGTGAAAGACAAGACACGTGTCGGAACATGGATGGTGTTCAATATTTAAACACAAAAGAGTCTGTTTCCTCAGTTGGATGCTAGATTCAACTGATCTAAAACAAACAGTTTCCCACCCACGATTAAGGCAAAGGGATACACTATTTTCCTACCTACCAAACACCACCTTCCCTGCCTCATTTCCTATCTTACATCAACACTTCTTTTTCTTCTCATATTTATCGTGAAAGAATGCTGGATCGATATAAATTTAAACAGTTAAATAATTAACATATTAATCGTAAAAAAAGTCACGTATGCATATAAAATCTACATGATTTTCTTGTTATAAATTCTTCAAGAATTTATTGTTGTTATGAAAACAATTCAAAAGTCATGAATTCGAGTGTACAATTATATAATGTTAACAATTTATTTAGTTCATGTACAATAATTAGAATAATTTAATAAATGCATTAAAATTTAATGCTTACGTATTAAAAATAGCAATGTGAAGTGCATATAGGATGTATGAATAGAAAATACAATTAGATTATGAATTAATAAAAGAGCCGGCCAAGGTGCATCCCACTAAAATGGTAGTGAGAGAATGCTGGCTAATCTTGTCTACATTGACTACTTTTAATTATTTTATTTTATAGAACTATTTTGACTTTGTTTAATTTGATAAAATTGAATTTAGTCATTGATTTTATAATATTAATGATATATTTTTAAATGTAATACCATTAATTGTTATATATGTATCTGAAATATTAAAATACAGAAACAATTAACAGTAGTATCGATTATAATAAATCATTTGGCACTGTAAAAGTAGAAGAATTTCTTGAAAGTAAAAGTTTAAATTTTCGAAAGATAATTAAAAGCATAATTAGATGTTAATATAAAATATAATAAAGTTTGGAAGCCTCTTGAATATTGCTACGTGGCCAAGTCCATGTCGAGGATCTTGCTTGATGCTGCGTTGCCCCATCACATGCCCATTTCAGGGTTCGGTTCTACACCATCTCTTTAACCATTACTATTATGTATATAAATATACATAATTAATTTTATTAAAAATTAAATATATTCAAAATTACAATAAATATTTATAATTCAAAGTTAAAAATTTAATAAAATTTACATAAAAAATAAATGCAATTAAACTTGATTGTATTGACAAATAAATCTTAAAATAGAATTAAATTATTAAAAGACTCGATAAATCACAAACTAAAGTTAATAGATATAAAAATTAATTAAAAAACGATACTACGATATTAACTTTCTGTGTCATGTAAAGTAAAATATATTAAGCTAAATAAGTTTTTAAAAAATCAAATTTACTGGATGCATTTTCTATCTATGTAATATAAAAATGTGTGATTTTAAGAATTAATCAAAAAAAAGTTTCTATTCAAGAAAAATAACTAAAATACTTTAGATTAAAAAAATAAAATTTTAATTAAAAACACCATTTAATTTACCCTAAATTTATAGTAGTAATATTTTCCTAGAAAACCCCCCGTTATCTGACTTGCCGGGAATTAAAATCATTCCAAAAAATTTAGCACGTCATCAGATGGTCCCACGTGGCCAGATCCCAGCGGCACCGACAACAAGACAGCCCCTCGGGCCTCGGCGCACCCTCTACGCGCTCTTTATAATCCCCATATCTCAATTTTCCGCTCCATTTCTCACCCCCATAACGCGGTCAAATTAATTTTTAAGAAAAGAAAATCACCATTGAGTCCGTTTTTGTTCAAAATTTTCTCTTCTACATTTGCAGTTACTTTCGTTGGTGAAATTCAGTCGAAAGATCCGTAACATATCACGGCAATCTCTCAGTTTCGCTAGCTCCTCATACTTGCAGATAATTCCCTCTACACTATCAACTCTAAATCTAATTTCCCTTTTCCCTTTTGTTATTTTTTTTATATAGAATTTTAGTGTTTATTCAGGTGTAAAGTTGTAGGCTTCTCTTTTGGGATCTGTGGTCCAAGCTCAGGTCTTACTGTAACCGATGGATTGAGATTTAGGGTTAGGGTTTTGGAAATTTTTTTCAATCGATGAAGCTGGCTTTTGTGTTCTTTTTCTTTGCGATATTCGGGGGATCTGTTGATCAGCTGGTGATTGAACTCTGATGAGACGCCGTCCTGTGGCGTTGGCTCCTAACGAAGCAATGGAGAAAGGTTCCCCTAAAAATCAACAAACCCGGCTCTGTTTCTTAGCTTCTTTGTCAGCTTTCTTCTGGATTTTTCTTTTGTATTTCCATTTTGTAGTTCTAGGAGGGAGCACCACAGTCCAGGACTTAGTTCAATCACCACCAATCAAATTAGACTTAGTTCCATCACCACCAATCAAAGTAGAGTTAGATCCATCACCGCCAATCAAATTGGATTCTCCTCTCACTAATGTTGGATCCACCGCTGCTCGGGTGACCTATGGCCGTAAAGAGAAGGATAAACCATCAGTGGTGAAACCCGTTAAGAATACGGCTAGTGGAAAGGTGTTGGCTTACCCTTTTATGAGAGCTTTAAGAACGGTGGATAACAAGAGTGATCCGTGCGGGGGAAGTACATTTATGTGCATAAACTTCCTCCGAGGTTCAATGAGGATATGCTTAAGGAGTGTAAGAGTTTGAGTCTTTGGACTAATATGTGTAAGTTTACTAGCAATGAAGGGCTTGGTCCACCACTTGAGAATGTGGAAGGGGTGTTCGAGAATACCGGGTGGTATGCCACGAATCAGTTTGCGGTGGATGTCATATTCAATAATCGAATGAAGCAATATGAGTGCTTGACCAATGATTCATCCATTGCAGCCGCAATATTCGTGCCCTTTTATGCCGGGTTTGATATTGCAAGGTATCTTTGGGGATATAATATCTCAAGGCGCGATGCTGCCTCCCTTGATTTGGTTGATTGGCTGATGAAGAGGCCTGAGTGGAGTATAATGGGAGGCAAGGATCATTTCCTGGTGGCTGGAAGGATTACATGGGATTTCAGGAGATTGAGTGAGGAGGAATCTGATTGGGGTAATAAGCTTCTGTTTTTACCTGCTGCTAGGAATATGTCGATGCTGGTGGTTGAATCAAGCCCCTGGAATGCAAATGATTTTTGCATTCCATATCCAACATACTTCCACCCTGCCAAGGATGAGGAAGTCTTTGTATGGCAAGATCGGATGCGAAAATTGGAGAGAAAGTGGCTGTTCTCTTTTGCGGGTGCACCTCGTCCCGGTAACCCGAAGTCAATAAGGGGGCAGATTATTGACCAGTGCAGGAAGTCGAATGTCTGCAAGTTGTTGGAATGTGATTTTGGGGAGAGCAAGTGTCATTCACCGAGCAGTATAATGCAGATGTTCCAGAGCTCTCTGTTCTGCTTACAACCTCAAGGAGATTCATACACACGGCGATCTGCTTTTGACTCGATGTTGGCTGGTTGTATTCCTGTCTTCTTCCACCCTGGGTCGGCTTACACACAGTACACTTGGCATCTTCCGAAAAACTATACTACATATTCAGTGTTCATCCCAGAGGATGATATTCGTAAACGGAACATTAGCATTGAGGAGAGGCTTAGTCAAATCTCTCCTGAGCAAGTACAGATCATGAGAGAGGCAGTCATAAATCTCATCCCAAGGTTGATATATGCAGATCCTCGCTCTAAATTGGAGACTCTTCAAGATGCTTTTGATGTTGCAGTACAGGCAGTGATCAATAAAGTTACTAAGTTGAGGAAGAACATTATCCAGGGTCGAACCGAATATGATAACTTTGTGGAGGAAAACAGTTGGAAGTATGACTTATTAGATGAAGGACAGCGCGAGGTTGGAGCTCATGAGTGGGATCCTTTCTTCTCAAAACCGAAGGATGAGCAGAGAGATCAATCTGCGGAAGCTGGGAAGAATTCTTGGAAGAACGAGCAGAGAGATCAATCATAAGTCCAAGTTGATGGAGCAGTATACAAGTTGAATTGAGTAGTCTCTCCCAGTGGGTTCCCTGTAAGTGACTTATGGATCAACTATAGATATTGCCCACCAGGCACTTGGCCTTTGTTTCAAACCAAAACATATATGCATAATCTCTGGATTCTTATACAGTTTTCTGTTTTTGAGCTACCCTACATATTTTCTTATTAATTGTGTTTATTATTGTATTTGTAGCTGAGATTGTCTGTTTAATGTTCCAGTCTTATACAAGAAATAATAACTAATGATATCAGGTTTTCAAGAACATAGTTCTGTCTTATACCAGCTCCACATTGTATTTTTATTAATAACATGTATAGTTTCAAGGGGGACCAAACTTGAAATCTTAAGATAGATAATGTAATGTCTTACTGTTAAACTGAACAATAAATTTATTATATTGTAATTAAACTATAATTGAAATTTATTTCATTTATTTTATGAAAATATATATTGGAAGATAAATTTTAAAATTTTAGTATAAAATTATAATTTAATAGAATTATAATCTTAATTAAAATATATTAATTTTATATCACTACAATTCACGTTACAAAATTAAAATATTAATGAATAAAAATTCAAAAAAATATTTATATATAAATTATAAAATGCTATGAGGATGTATAATTAACAAAAACTATAACAATATTATTAATGTTTGAAACTTATATATACATGATTAAGAGTTTGGTGACTAAAATGCAAGTGACCTAAATACTAGGGTCTACAAATGTAGTTTTCCCTTGATTTAAACAATTTTCCCAAAGAAAAGCTGTGTTAGCCTGTAACTATTGACATTTTTAGTTGGATTTCATTTAAGAACAAAAATGTGTTCAGGGTCTGAGCTGGATGAGTCTAGAAATTACATGAACAAATAATAGAAGCCAGCATATCACAGATGGACTTGGACTTAATTTCAAGTGAGCTTCCCACCGAAAGATTTGGATAGGTAAAATTGATTATACATCTTTATGCTCCTGATTCAAATGTCTACATCTGAACAAGAAAAAATATTGGGTAAAGTACACATATGGTCCCTTGATTATAAGAAATTGCTTTGTTAAATCCTGATTATGAAAATTATAAAATGATCATCCATTCATAAGACGTCATTTTGTTGAGTCCCCTACAATTAAAAGTTACAAAATGGTCATTAGACTATTGTTATGTTCTAAACTCGTTCTTTTTCGTTAAAAATTTGATGGTAATCTGAACTAAACATTAACTTGCTGACTAAGATATGTTAAATCTAATCACAGAATCTCAAAAGACTATCATATCTTAAATAACATGTTAACGTCTTACTCAAACTACCGTAAATTTTTTACTGAAAAAGAATGAGCTTTGAACATATAAATAATCGGATGATCATTTTGTAACTTTTAATTGTCGAGAGACTTAACAAAGCGAAATCATATAGTCGGATGACTATTTTATAACTTTTAATAGTCAAGAAACTTAATTACATAGCGCCATATAGTCAAACGACCATTTGTATACTTTACCTGAAAAAAACTGATTCATGGGTAGTAAAAACTCGTATGATTTTACTTCTATATGGAAGTGGAACCCTTATGTGTGAATATATTACATTAAAAACAAAGACATTTGCTCTTTTCAAAACCTGTAAATTGAGATTGACGAAAACAAGTAACGAAATGATACAAGAATCGGGAACAAACTGAGAAGTAGGAAGGTTCAAACTTATGGTTTTTAACTATTTGTATTTGTTTTTTGCATTTGTATGTTGCTTGCAGCATGTCTTATTCATCCTATATGGCCCACTTGAGAGAATGATGTTCTAGTTGGGCTTGCATTTTCGTCTCTGGTTCCTTCCTTGTAATCTTGGAGCTATAGGTTATGAATTTGAGTAAACCTTAAGATATGAACAGTATGAGAACAGAATATGAACATTATGGATCTACATACCCAATCCGGTAGCCTCAGATGTCCTCATGATTCGAAGCCTCTTCACGGAACTAACAAACATCCTGCATCAAAGCAGAGAGGATTCATATGCCTAAAGATGAATGTTGGATCCAGGTATACATGTTTGATGCAAGGATGACCAAATTCTTTATATATATATATATTTGGACGATCATACTCATGTCCAACTATGCGACATACATTGGTACTTTAGGGAAAACGAAAAATCTGGGTATATTGAAAAGATACATACTCCCAAGGAACATCGCCAACAAGCATCCAGTCACCCTCTTTGTCCTTGTAAGTAAGCGCAAAGTTGGATGATACATCCAGCAGTTCTGAAGTTCTTGTTAATTTGTTTGTCATGCCATGCTCCAGCGCCCTTGATCCTAATCACAAAAGTCACAACTATCATAAAAGAGAAACATGCTTCCATTATAATCTAATGCAAAATTTTAGTCTTCCTTGTTGTTTGAACTAGGACATTCTTTACAGTGGAATTTAGAGGTCTAAAGTTCCAGCCTAATATTTTCCTATTTCGACACAATGCTTGAGAAACAAAAGGGATGCTTGTCAAAATTGCTTCTCATGACAACTCACGTCTGCATTTCGGTTTTATATATGCAGTGACAGACTTAAGAATCCATAATCAATTTGATTAAAGTTCCATATATCAGTTGAGACATGGTTGTCATACAGCTTACAACATCCCTGCGACCGTACTTAAATAAGCACTTACTAGTTAATTCATCTTTGCCAACTTGACTGACACTTGGGGTCGATTCGAGAAACATATCTTCCAGAGTTTTTGCCAACTTTTCATAGGATTCATGGGCATTCAGATCAACCTTCCTTCCAATTGGAATTCCATCCATATTCACCTTCACAAAAAGAGATTGTCTGAGCCTAGCCTTACCAGAGCTGCCAACGTTACTCTTCTCAACCATCGAGGTCTCGTTTTTACAGTTCTCCGTTGTTGAGTTAAATCCTACCACGGCCGGTGCTTTTGCTTGGTTAACCATGCTATTCATTCTATGAGCACCGATAGGAGGCCACCCCACAACTTGACTGTTTTCAAATTGAAGAAAAACAAGAGAAGTTAAGAGGGAAATATAAGTAAAGAAAATGTTCAAGAGCTGCAATACGTAATTAACCCATCACAACCAAATAGTATGTTAGCATAAAAAAACGTTTTCAGCTAATCAGTGAACGCCAAAATGGTTAAATCTAAATAACAAGTGTACACATTAAAACTGGTCTTGATGGCATGAATTGTGCCATGCCTCATATGGAGCTTCGTTAACAAGGCATCGCATGTACAGTTTTCTATATAAACCGGTGCATTATTAATCCCGGAACAACGCCATTCACTCGATTCCCTGAGGGTTGGTTGGCTCTTAAGGTTTGGTTCAAGAACTCTGCAATTTGATCAACTATATAATATTGGGACAATCACCTGTTTCTGCTTTACCTAGTTTGCAAAATGATGAGCTGAGAAAGATATAACCAATCATTTGATTGAAAGATCTTATCATCAAGGAAAGAGGAACCAAAGTATTGAATTTGGAAATTGAAGATCAAGACCATGTGATCTAATCATTTATATATTGAAGATAAACAGAAGCACTAGATGATTCATCTTATATAGACTGGAAATACTCCCAAATTTATACCAAATCTTGAACAATCTAACAATAAAAGTTGTATCCCTTTCCAATACCTTTTTTTTTTCTGAATGAATAACATGAAAGAAATGCCTCTGTAATTGTAATCTACCAACAACAAAAAGTACATTCGGTTCCCTGAAAGGATTATTCTAGCTTTCTCTTGATCTTGTATTTATAATAACAGAGTTCTGGAATTTATGAGATACATACCTTAAGCCATTAACAGCAACCATAGAATCAGCGGTATTCTTGGTCTTAGCTGCGACGAAGCAGCAGAAGTAACCAGAGAAGGAAAATCTTTAGGAATCAAAATCCTAGCAAACTGAGCATCCTTCGAAGCATGATGCATCTTAAAACCAGCGCCACCACCAACGCTCAACCCAAGGCCCAATTCCAACTCTGACTGATCAGTGCATGAAGAATCCTCTGAGGAAAGCACCATGTTTTCCTCCCTTGACACTGTGGATATTGACCCACTTTCAGAACCACCATCACCAACGTTAACAACACCTCCTTGCATCTAAAAAAGGGGACTAAATCTCCTTGCTTGAACCAAAGTTTCAAACCTTTTTTCAAAGGAAGAAGACAAGATAAAAGAGATTAATTAGAAGTAAAGTTTGACTTTACAGAGGAAAATAAAAAGAGATGAATGGAACAAATATGGGGATTTTGAAAGAGGCGTGAAGTGGTGCGAAAGCCCAAAACACATTCAAGGCTAAAACACGAAATAAATATAATTGAAAACGTGATAAAAAGATATAATATTTTAGACTAAATATATATTTTTAATGACAATTAAATATATTAAAATTTTCTTATATTAAATTAGATTATTTTATCATATTTTTAATTGAGTTAATTTTTATTATCTTTTAATCTTAAATTAAACTGTTGTATGGCATAATTACCACAATGTAGTGGGAAGAGGGAAACTTGGAAAAGCAAGAAAAATGTGAAGTTGGGTATGGTGGAGATGGCGCTGATGTTTGTAGTCATCGCGATGGGCTCCCAACTTGTCTGGATTTATGCGCTTCCAGTCCCATCAATGTTTTTCCTTCATTTTTAATAAACTTACAAACGATCTTATTTTTTTAAAGACGGTAAACTATACGTTTACTATTTTTTTATTAATTTTATTTTAAAATTATATCTAACGTTTAATTTTTATTTTATTTTAGTATTATATTGTTAAAATTTTAACAGATAAATTTCGCCTTGATTAATCTAGACCGACCCACATTGCACACATAGCTTTAATGGATGAGCCTCCCAACAAAGATTTTCTGCATACACAAGTATTCAAGACTTTACTTAAATGATATTAAGCTACTTACTACTTGAATCAAATCTAATATTGGTTTTATCTTAATTTTTTAATATTTTTTATAATGTCATATTCAGGGGTGGAGCTTAGTGAGGGCCCAAGGGGCCCCGACCCTGTTAAAATTTGTATATTCGATATAATTTTAGTCAAATAGTATTTTGGTTCATATAAAAATAGATATTTAAATTAAAAAAATATATAAGAATTTATTAAATATTTAATCTAAAGACTGAACTAAAGAAGAAAACCTTGTATTCTCAAAATACTTGGTCTAATAACAATTTAGATCATTGTAAGTTTAAATATTAGACAAATTATGTGTTATCTTGTGAATTTTGAGTTTTTTTTTTAAATCTAGGGTGAATACAATGTAATATATGTACAAAGATTCTTAACTATTTGACAATGAACACTCATACCCTACATATGCAATGCTCACCTTATCCTTCAAGTGAAAAGAAAAAAGGCCTCATCTCGAACTCGTGACCTTAAGGATAACAACGATTCTTTAATCACTAAGGTCGATTGTGTAATATCCCAAAATCCGGCTAGTGACTAAAATGAGAATTTTGAAAGTTTTGTGCTCAATTTTGAAATAAGTTAAAGTTATGGGATTTAAGTAAAAAATTTTGATGATGATTAAATAGCATATATGAATAATTAAATGGGTAATTTAGTCTTTTCAGCTTAAATGATATTTTTTTCCTTTAAATAAGAGTTATACACGTGACTTTTGGGAGATTTCTAGAAGCCTTCTTCTTGCTCTCTTCTTCTTCTTCTCGTAGCTCAAGCTTAAAGGTAAGTTTGATTTGTAGCTATTAATCTCTTGAATTTATAAGTTGGTTTTGAATCTTTGGGGGTTATATAAGCTTAAGGAAAGCTTATATAAGCTTAAAACATCAAGAAGAGAGAATTAGAAAGAAATTTATATTAAGAGTTTAGAAATTAACTTTTGATATATAATGGTTTTTGAAATTCTAAGGATGAATTTGACTTGTCCTCAACTTAATTAAGACATATGAAGTGTTAGAATTAGATTTAGATTGTGTTGGAATTTGAGTGAGATTCTTGAATTCTATGTGGATGATTGAATTTTTAAGTTTTAGAGGTATTGAATGGGTATTAATTAGTTTAAATAGTGTATAAGAGTTAATTAAAGGAGGTGAAAGATGAAAAGTTGAGCTAAAAAGAGAGTAAATTTCGTGCTTAAAATGGAATTTCTGGGTTGTGTGCATCGATGAATCTTCAAGGTGTATCGATGCACTCTCAAATAAATGAACATCGAATGCAATTAGTGCATCGATGCATCCCCTTAAGAATAAAACATCGAAGGTGATTTGTGTACCGATGCACAGGTAGTGCATCGATGCACACGTTAAGGAATGCATCAATACACTGTAGAGTGCATCGATGCATACCTTTATTAAAAGATGAAAATAACTTTCTTTTAGCCTAAGAATCGATAGTTTAGAATATATTAATTAGTATACTGATATGTATCAATATATTACTATGTAAATTCAGAGCTTAAACAAGTTCCAGAATAATTACCCGGTAAGATCAATCAGGGGAAAAGCAAAGAAATACAGGTGAGTGCATACTAGTGACCTGTAGTGTTTAATGGAAATAAGACTTGCGATGAGTCTATTTCCTAGAGTAATATGCATGAAGTCATGAACATGATTATGTGGTTGTTATGATTATATGTGCTATATGTGATTATAAGTATTACATTAATTGTATGTATGCATGACTAAATATATTGATATGCTATATGATTTGTGTAAAACATTATTATGTAATAATGGAAGAATATGAAATAAGTTATATGATAAAGACATAAAGAATGAAATGAACATGTGACATAAGCTATAAGTTAATGAACCATTGATATATATATATATGTTAACTTCCTAAAAAGTCTACTTTTAAGGCCTTTTTCACTTAAGTTATTGTTTGTTTAAAAGTTCATTTTAGGCATTTTAAGATCATGTAGTTGCATATAGTTGCATTTGTGGTGGTAGTGCTATTTTATTTCTTAATGACGCTGCTTGAGGGAAAGTTGCAATTTGTCTATGATGTGCAGGACTAGCAAGAAAAAAGGATTTGTTGGGAAGAAATGTCGCGGCATCAAACGTTGCTGAAGCATATTGAAATGCCTTGGCATTTCTAGCGTAGAAAACGACAAAAAGATACAGTTGTATGAGGAAAGCTTGCACTGCAAGTGGAATGATTGATGTAGCCACCTTCTAGAGGACTAACGCCACCTGGAGATTTAAGTTCATGCTTATGGTGTGATTCTAGGGGTATGAGGGGTATTTCGCACCTAACAACCTAATCATTACCCCTAGATCCTTTTATTATAATGACACCTAAAGGGAGAGAGGAGAGACGTGAAGAAGCACACGCATAGAGCAGAAAAAAAATAGATTTTTAATTCCTTTTCTTTTTCCTTGGGTTTTCCTCCATTGATTAAGCTCCAAGGAGTGGCGAGCTAGGTGCCGAGAGGAGCTAGCGAGCTAAGGTGATTCGTGGTGGCCGAGGAGACCTCCGGTGGTGCGTCGAAGGCTTCTTCTCACTTCCCTTTTTGCTACTATTTTTTGATTTATTTATGGGTTGATGGAACGAATATTTGCATGACTTTGTGTTTGGATATTTCGAACCCCACCATGAACTAACTTATTTGGTGGTGGTTGGTTTAATGAATGTTTAGACTTTATTTTAATGATATATTTGAGTTTATTTTGGTTCTTTATTTGCTTTGCTTATGAATGCTTCACCATCTAGGCTTGTAAGAGGCATGGAAATGTCAATTTCTTAGATGAAGTTTAGGTATTCGGGAGAAACCTAAGCTAGAAATACTTGTAAGTATTCGAGAGAACCGCAAGATAAGATCCTCATAAGCAATGGGTTATAGTATTTCCAAGGGACTTTGAACCGGCCTAGGGATATTACAACCTAATCCATTAGATCTCGGGAGAGACTAGGATAGGATTTCAACGACTAAAAAGGGTGTTTTATCAATAGGGTAGGCTGGCCAACATCGTTGAGTGAGAGCAAATGCCTTGGCATCCTATTCTATTAGGTTCTTTTGAGAACATTTTAGGAAAGCCCTGTCGAGCAAGTAAAGACTAGATAACTTAGATATACCTGATAAATAAGTTTAGCATCCTTAGATCAATCCCTGCTATTCATTCTATTGGAAGCTTGTCACGTGAGGATTATCTTCTTTTCATTTTATTTACTGTTATTTACCATCTTTCATTGCCTCGACATTACATCATTTTCAACACTAAACATCTTATCTTGCCATTACATTTCCATCTGCTACACCATCAGACTATTCATCTACATCCACCTTTATACACATTTTCATTTACCGTGATATTTGTATATATAAAGAGACTAACTATACATAGATAGATTAGTGCTTAGCTTTGGTTAGACTTTCATAATTTCACCCAATCCCTGTGGAGACGATACTCACTCATCACTGTATTACTTGAGCGATTGTGTATACTTGCACATTATTTGCGTATATTTTATAGTACTCACAACACACAACAAGTTTTTGGCGTCGTTGCGGGATTGGCAGCCTGAAGTTATTTAGTTTCGCCAGAGCATTTTATTTTGTTTTGTATTTTTACTTGTGTATAGTTTACTTTATATTTTTGTTTTATTTTTCAGGTTTATCTAGTTTATACCTAGAAGAAATTCTGAAGAGCCTTTAGAACTGATAGAACCTGAAATTGAAAGACTCTTTAGACAAAGGAGATGAGCACAATGCGCTAGAGGAAATATGTATCAGATTGGAAACCAAGGCATTGGTCAGGATGACGGAAATCAGAATGTCGCGGAATTAGGCAATGTTGAATCTGCTAATAGGCCGCGTGTTATTCGTGATCACTTAAATCCGATGCTGGATGATCTGAATCCTGGGATTGTGGCACCCGAAATTCAAGCTTCACATTTCGAACTGAAACCAGTCATATTCAACATGTTGAATTCCATTGGGAAGTTTAGGGGTATGCCAAATGAAGATGCCATGCAGCACATTCGTAATTTTCTAGAAGTTTGTGATTCTTTTCGCCAAGAGGGAGTACATGAGGATTTTCTGAAATTAAAGTTGTTTCCGTATTCATTTGCGTGACAGAGCAAAGGCTTGGTTGAGTGGTGTACCAGCCGGTTCGATGGAA